TATCAAAGAATCATCAAGTTATCCACCCTCAACCCAGTCAAATCGAACCATTGAACTGTGAAAGAGGGGAGGAAAATGAGTTGAAATGGTATACCCACGTGGAGGTTCCTCTTAGTTTTGCCAACTAAGAGATTTAGCTATTCATGTTTAAAATAAAGACAACAATATGATGACAAGACATTATGAAAAAATAAAGACTAAAACTAAGCATAAACGAATTGCATAAATTTAACTTTCAGATAACCACCTCTTACTAAAGATTGGATGAGAAACTACTCACTCTTCATAGCTTTGTTAAAACTAGAAAAGTGAGTGATGCTCATCCCTCCAAGTAGAGGNGATTGCATTTAGCATATGCAATAAGCTGTTAAACCCCTAGGTGATCCCTAGTGGACGAGTTTTGTCTCGTGAAGGTTTCCAGTGAAGGTACCTACAAAATCCAATTAAAAAATGTGTATATTTAAGATTTCTNCGATCTTCGACAAAGAATGAGTGAATCACGTTCCACCCTTCACGGCATTGGTAAAGCCCTAGAAAATTGGAAGAGTTTTACTCCTCTAAGGGAAGAAGGAACTCAAGCAATGGAAGTAAAAAAAAGCAATAACACAATAAAAGAAAGCAATACTTAAAGTAAAAGAAAGCAATAAATTAAAAGGAAGCAAGAATACAATAAAAGAAAGCAATACTTAAAGAAAGCTATAAGCAATAAGGAAAGCAATAATACTTTTGGAGGGTTTTCCACTACCAAAAGATGAATGCTTTACAAGTCCTAAGGGGTGGTATTTATAGGCAACAAGGGAGGGTGAAAGTCTTGTTAGGTGGCCTTGAATCTTGTTAGGTGGACTTGAAGAGTCTTGTTAGGTGGACTTGAAAATCTTGTTAGGTGACTTTGAATCTTGTTAGGTGGACTTGAAAATCTTGTTAGGTGGCCTTGAATTCTTTGATCCTCCTTTGTTTTGAGCTTTGATAATTGGCACCCCAGTAGTTTGTAGCTTTAATGCAATTGGCTCCCCAGTAGTTTGTAGCTTTGACGCACAAAATCCTGAAAAGAACAACAATTAATGCATTATCCTTTATTCACACACTAATTCTAATTTGATTTATTTTGACTAGTTTAACTTTATTCAACTAACACAATTTACCTATTAAATTATGCCTTAATTAGGGTTAATCACACCCCCCAACCTAAATATTACTAGTCCCTAGTAATAAACAACATAACAAAATAAAATCACTTTCGTAGATAACACGATTGCATTTAGCATATGCAATAAGCCGTTAAACCCCTAGGTGATCCCTAGTGGACGAGTTTTGTCTCGTGAAGGTTTCCAGTGAAGCTACCTACAAACTCCAATTAAAAGATGTGTATATGTAAGATTTCTTGTCAAAATGAGTTAGCAACAGAATCATTGAGGCACATATCTCTTAATTTTGAATTGTTTTTCGAACACTTTTCTGTCATTGGTACGTACTCTATACAAAANGAAAGCAATAACACAATAAAAGAAAGCAATACTTAAAGTAAAATAAAGCAATAAATTAAAAGGAAGCAAGAATACAATAAAAGAAAGCAATACATAAATAAAGCTATAAGCAATAAGGGAAGTAATAATACTTTGGGTTTTCCACTACCAAAACCAAAAGATGAGCTACCTCTCTTGATACTTGTAAATNCTCTCTTAGAATGCTCTCAGCAAAAAATTCACTCCGATTATAGTGACTTGTCTCTCAAAGGGCATGTGATTAGAGGATGGTCAATCGAAGAATCACATGCACAGTTAGAAAAGGAGAGAAAGTTTTAAGAAAGTAGGCTAATCATGTTCTTGGCATAATCTCATGGAAGAATATCAATGCAATTAAAGAAATACTATTTAACATACCCCAGTTTTCGGTCGACAACACACACATGCATTAGACTTGAGATCAATTAGGACTTTCTATAGGTTGTAATGTGGCCAGAGGTTAGTGGCTAATGAAATGACGTCAATGGTATTCAAAAGTTATCCCCTTTTTTAATGTAGCACACTCTTTCTTGCTTTTTAGTCTTTTGCCTAGAAATGATATTTCTTTCTTTCATTTTTTTTTTTCGATTCTTCGTTGAACAGTAGCCACCATCTTCTTTTATGTTTTTTCTTGCCTTTCTATGTCATACCGATTTATAAGAGGGTGCAAGAAAAAATTGGATAGCAAAGTATGTTAAGTGTATTTATTTATTTATTTATTTTTTGTGCGTGGCTCGGTTATCATATGAGTTTTTCGAGAAAAAAAATCATCATTCATTAAAGGCTCAGACATGGCTAACTAGGGATATAATTTTGTAGAAGCAATGACTAAGGTTCAAAATCAACTCAAAGATGGCCTAAAATCCTTTCTCAAGTATGTGCCTGTGTCGCATGCAAAGGTTCCCTGTAGGATATGTCAATAGATTACTTTAGTTGCATTTAATCAAAGCAAGTTTAATGAGATTATTCAACAATTGAAAGTGAAAGAGCTTACTTGAGTAAATGTTGATTGTCTCTCAGAAAGCATCGTAAGGCTCAAAACTTACCATGGTATTCTTCGTTATCTCCACTGGTTATGTCAGGTTTTCAAAGAATGTCAGTTATATTATAATTCTATTTTCGAGTCTGGTCATTCTGTACCTTAAGATTAACAAATATCAATGTACATTTGACATTTAAGCATAGAGAAAATACCATTTTTCAAGAAAATGCGGTTTTTTTTTCACTCGAATAAAAATCAAAACTATTTACATACACATTTATCTATGAAAATTTACAAAAAGACTAAATGCACATATTGAACTTGGAAAACTATGGTGTCTCAGGATAGGTCCCTACCCA